ATATTTATATCTACTATAGTTATAGTTCGCTTATTATTATCCTTAATATAGATAGTAATTTTATAGATATTTATAGGTTGCCCTGTATTATTATTAAATTCTATTACGCTGGTGTAGCTCCCGTTAGGGTCCATGCAGCTGTTCTATCTAGGCTAGTTTACAAGGAGAAACCGTTTGCTGCCATGCAGCGTTCGGATGAAAACCCCGTCCTCTGCGGTGTATAGCGCTGAGCGCTCTTCTCGTTGTTGTATAGCTATTGGGGACACGTGGTAGATCTATCACGTCCACCACGGAATAAGCCATCGTGATGCGTCTTCCTAAATCTGTCCGGGTTTTGCAGTCGTCCTCCTAGGCGCGGGTCGAGTTGATTCCGGAGTAGTGAGCTGGTTTAGGATTAGCGTGAGGGCACGCGTGCTGTCGTTTCGCACGCGTGCCCTTCGTCAAGGCGTTGGTCCTTGAATTGAATGATGTATGTGGGGGTAGTGCTGTATAGGCTGCGATATATATAGGGGCTGCGGTATACGGGTGGATACAGCTGTTAGGTGGGTGCGTGATATAGGCGGCGTAGTATGCGTCGTATACACAGTATGCATAGTATGCGTAGTATGCGTAGTATGCGTAGTGTGTGTAGTATGCGCAGTATGCGTAGTATGCGTAGTATGCGTAGTATGCGTAGTATACGTAGTATGCGTAGTATGCGTAGTATGCGTAGGTTGCCCTGTATACTACCTATTTCCTGCTGCCTTCCTATATTGCGCAGCTATACCGCTTAGTATAGCTAATAGTGTTATGCCTGCTGCTACTGCTGCAGTATACGTTTTCCCGTGTATTAACAACGTATATACCTCCTTTTTTATATCCTCTATTATTTTTATCAACCTTTTCTATAGTGTCTACTATAGGTCGTTCGCGGTATCCGAGAGGCCGAATAGGACGCGTTCTGTAAAGTTGTAGAGGGTTTAGACGATTGTATTTATCTTAAGGAATTAGATTAGCTTATTCCGCAAGAGGTTTTATATACCGTATGCTTTGTTAACAAGGTTTTAGACGTCCTAGTAGATATTTTTAATAGGCTTCGGGTTTTAGTATTAGTTTTAGCGTTGTTATTATTGTTGTTATTAATGCTATTACTAGGGCGGCTGCGCGTTAGGGGTTGTAATTCGCGGTATACCTACTGCAACGCCGCCGGTACTACTTATAGGGCTTTAAGGCTGCGTATAATTGTTTATAGGGCTTTAGATAGCCCCTAGGGGCCCTTTTTAGGTTATATTTCTAAAATACTATAGAGTTAATTACATCGTGTTTTTTTTTATTATTTCTATATAGTTAACTAGGTAATTTTTTTAAATAAATTTCCTTAGGCTTTAACTTACTTTATTAGGGATAATTAAGAAACTAGGTGCCTTAGCTAATTAACTTAGCTATAGACTAAGCTATTTTAAGGGAAAAGTTTATAGCCTTAAAAAAGCTAATTACTATATTATAGGGACTACTAATCGTACACCCCCTAATTCCTAGATATACACCGTTTCCCCCTTTTATCGCTTTACCACCTTTTAATTAGCTTAGAGGGCTGCTCTATAGCCTCTAATTCGCTTGCTTAACTTACTTATTAATTCCGAATACTCTCTCTAAATGCGGCTATATATAATATAAGCAATTATATTATACTAATTTATATAGCCTTACGTACGAGCTTACGTATAAGCTTATATATAAGCTTATATATAGCCTTATATATAAGCTTACGTATAGCCTTATATATAGTATTACGTACAGCCTTATATATAGTATTATATACGGCCTTATATATAAGCTTACGTACGGCCTTATATATAGTATTACGTATAGCCTTATATATAAGCTTATATACAGCCTTATATATAGTATTATATACGGCCTCGCGTATAGTATTATATATAGAGAAACGTAAAGGTAAATACCTAAAGAAAGCTCCGGGCTCTCTAAGCTAATTAAAAGGTAGTAAAGCGCTAAAAGGGGGGGGTGTATATAAAGTAAAAAGGGGGTATATATCTAGGAATTAGGGGGTGTACGATTAGTAGTCCCCTATATTATAGCTTAGCTAGAGAAGTTTAATAATAGAACTAATAACCTAGAAAAAAATTAGGAAAATATAAAAAATACTATTAGGCTATTATAAACCAAAATTAATAACGTTAAAAAATGCATTAATAAAATATTAAACCGTAGAAATAAATAGAAGGAAAAGGCTAGAAAGGAAAATATAGTATTTATAAGGAAAAGGATATATATAGCTTAAAAGTAGATAAGTATATAAAACTAAAGGAAAACGCGGTGGAATTAGTACGCTTTTTTATTATTATAATACTTACTAGCAGAAATTTTTATATTAGATATAACTAGATCTAGCCCTACTTATTTCTATAAGTATTTGCTATATTTATATACTTAACCGGCGAAAAGTTAGTAAGTTAAGGCTTAGAGTTTAATATAGGGAAAGTATATCCCGCTATTATATACTTTATTCTTCTTAGCCTGCGCCAGGCGATAACTTTTATTAGCCTATTAGTAGTTTAGTTAAAATATACCGCCGTTTTCTTTACTAGTAGGGGATAGCACTATTCCTTTTATATAGAAGTTAATTACCTGTAAAATAATAGAAAAAGGGAGATATATAAGGGTTTTTAGACCTAAAAATAGCTTATCTATAGTAGTATAAGTATAGAATTAGCTGTTATATTATTATACTATAAACTATATATCTATACTATAATTTTCCTATAACTTTTAAAATTTATTATTAAAGGTTTTTAATCGCTTTTAAATATTTTTATTTATAGTATACTTTAACTTTAACTATATAAGTATAGGCGCTGCTAATACTACACCCCCTAATTCCTATATATACACCTTTTCCCCCCCCCCTGTCGTTTCACCACCTTCTGATTGGCTCGGAGGGGTGCTCCGTAGCCTCCGATTCGCTCGCTTAACTTGCTTACTAATTCCAAATGCTTTCTCCAAATGCGGCCTTAATTAAAATTAATTACATCTTTTTCTTCTCCGTCTACAATATAGCAGCGCATACAGCAGCGCATACAGCAACACCTACGGCTACACCTACGGCTGCACTTACGGCTGCACCTGCAGCTAAAAAGCGCGGCTGGCCGCCTGGTGCAAAGGATAAGGTACCACGGAAAAAGGCACGAGCTCAGAGGCAAGATAGTACTCAGCCTACGCCTCAGCCTACGCCTCAGCCTCAGCCTCAGCCTCATCCTTAGGCACAGAGGCTTAGCTGAGAGGAGCTTCTACGTCAGCTTGCGACGTATAATGAAGATATTGAGGCGGAAATTGACCGAGATATTGAGCAGGCGGAGGCGGTGATGCGAGGGGGCTAGGCTTAATGCAAAGGAGCCGTAATAAGGTGAGGTTTTGACAGGTTTAGCATGCTTGTAGACACGTAGGCACTTCTAGAATAGAATTTCTATTCTATACTTAGACTTAGACTTATACTTATACTACGTGAACTCGTACGTAAGGCTACACAAATCGGCGAGGCTACACAAATCGGTGAGGCTACACGAATCGGTGAGGCCACACGAATCGGTGAGGCTACACGAATCGGCGAGGCTACACGCCGATTTGTATAGCCGTACGTGAGCTCGTACGTGAGGCTATACAAATCGGCGAGGCTGCACGAATCGGAAAGGCTGCACGCCGATTCGTATAGCCCCGCGTATAGCATCACGTGATGTATAGGTGAATGCCCGGAGCTCCGGCGTAGTGCTCTGAGCTAATTAGAAGGTAGTGAAACGACAGGGGGGAGGGGGTGTACGCGCAGTGAAAAGGGGGTGTACGTGTAGGAATTAGGGGGTGTGGTATTAGCAGCGCCCATAAGTATTTATATTAACTTTTTTAAAGATATAGCTGTAAATACTAGATTATTAGCAGGCGTTAGCTATATATATACAACCTCTGCAATATAATATAAGGACTAGAAGTAAATTCTGTATACTAGATACAGGCAGCGGATTGCGCAAAGAATAGACTTGTATTATATTCTAGTTTTCAGATTACGGTTCCAAATCTGGCCCCTACCAACGTCAAAATGTAGGGGATTTTCAGCCGCAGGGGATTTTGAGCCGCAGGGGATTGGTTTCCGCAGGGGATTGGCTCCCGCACGGACTGGTTCGCGCTTCTATTTCTGGATATCCGCACACTTGACAATCCCACTCCTCCCCATTTTTTATATTTTCTCATCTATAACGGCCGTACACTCAACAATCCCATACGGGATGCAATACCGCACACCCCAAGTTAGTTAATTTTTTTTTTCTGGGCATCGTTTAACTCCCGCTTTCTGTTCTCTAATCATGTAGGAACAGGATCCCGCTACCTGGACTGATCCCTTGTGGCAACCAATTGGCTGTTACTATTGAGCTAGTCCAATTTGAGATTAGTGGGGGCATCCCAAGATAAAGTCTCTCTGCGGATGCCCCCCAGAGGACAACATAGAGCTTGCTCACGAGCGACGTAGAATAGGTACAGAGGATAGAGTCAACGTCTACATTGCGGAGCTTGGAGCCATCATGGAGGCGGTGGACTGGGCCGAGATTGTGCTCAACACGTGTCCAGGGCCGCAGAGCGCCACGGTATACTCAGATAGCATGTCGGCACTCCAGTCCATCGCGAACCCAGCGCACCAGAGTGGGCAGGCCATAATCCGGCACATCGCGAAGGTGCTATGCAGAGGTCAAGAGCGAGGGACACCGATCAGGCTGGCATGGATCCCGAGCCACCAGGAAGTACCTAGAAACGAGGCAGCACACAATCATGCAGCTGCAACCACAAAACCCGAGAGCGAAGAATGCTCGCTCCCGTGGCTAGCAGGCAGTTTCAGATCAGCTGTGGCAGGGAGGTCTGAAAGGGCTCAACCGGCTGCAAGATCAATCCACAAATGGACCACGGGCAGGCACCTTAAGAACATCGACTCGGCGTTGCCAGGAATGCATGGCAGGTCTCTCTACAACAAATTGACAAGGACTGAGGCCTAAATACTAGCCCAACTCCGAACAGGCCACTGTAAACTCCGGAGCTTCCTAGCAAGAATTGGAGCCGAGGAGAGTGATCTCTGCAGCTGCGGTTAAGGGAAAGAAGACACTCGGCACTTTCTACTACATTGCCAACAATACCAACATCTTCGTGAAGACATGGTTAGAGAAGGGAAGGAACGGTACGGTGACCTGTCGTATATGCTAGGGGGACAATCGTCTCAGGTAAACCTCAACGGGTCAAACCCTGACGGACCGATAGAGAAGTGGAAACCGAACGTGAAAATGGTCAGGACGGTGATCAAATACGCGCTGAAAACGGAGAGACTGGGTCGTCAATCGGGCCACTAACGCGCAACACACGACTTTCAGCGGCCAGTAAGCTGAAGAGCGTGCAGAGGTGAGGTCAACACGACAGTGGGCTGTGGAATAAATCGAGGATCCCGCAACAAGATTGTTTTGTACATAGTATGGATTAGCTAGTAGTGAGGCTGCCTACGGCCTTGCATAGCCAATAGGATTTTTGATGATGATGATGATGATGATGCCCGGCCAGATATTTGGAGTGGTATTCTAATTACAACTCCTTTTAAGTAACGTCCCTCCCTGGGTCGCGGAAAACCCACCGTGCCGGAAAATATAAGGGGTACTTTAACTTCAAACAACTTAGACTCGATGCACACATGAAGATTTCCTATAATTCTATATACATCGTGTACTGTAGCTACCCCTAAACACTTAGAACATCTGCCACCTAAAAATTACGTTCGCATCGCCGCTTTTGCGCTCTGATTTGCGGAGAGCCTTCTTTCATGGCGTAACAGAATTCCTTCGCCACAGCACCACTTTCAAACTCTTATCACTCCTAATGTTTATGAAAGAGCCTTATCCGAGCTTCAGAGCCTTATAACCATACTGGAAGTCGTCATCAGCTTTGTGGCTGCTATCGCACGCAAATTCATTCAAAGTCGCCACGCGGATTGGTACCTCCAACCGAGGCAGTCACCAATAGGAACATCTCTAATATATCAATATTACGCTTCTACCGTGATATAAGCTTATGCAAGAGAATGCCCAGCCCCAACGGCTAGATTTACGCCAGATATCTTGTCTGACTCCTCACTTAGCAGATACACGATAGCTCTTGCGATGTCTTCAGGTTCAATCATATACCTCGGACGACGTTAGTATTGAGAGCAATCAAGTGCAGACAATGAAACGCTTACATTCCTAGGCCCTTTATTGCTTCCTCCGAAGTACCGTCTGGGAAGAACTGCGCCATCATTGGCGTTAGAGTGGCACCTTTGCGAATCATTTAGCAGTAGCCGTAGGACATGCGAGTTGGGAACGGATGAAGGCATACCGGGCGATACGGTGTTGACACGAATCCCAAACCCTAGCACATCCTTCGCTACGGAACTCGAAAACGATGCGCAAGCTCTCTTCGATGCCCCGTATGCGTACGTATCGGGCGTGTGCATCATTGAAGCCAGGCTGGCTACGTTCACAATGGCTCTGCCCGAAGGCTCTACCGGAAGGCTGACCATGCCTCTGACTTGCTCCCGTGTGCAGTACATGATGCCGTCAATGTTGACTGCCATGGTACGTCTCCATGCCTCGTCGGTCTCTTCTAGTATCGTCGGTTTTTGTCGAGCGTTGGAGGCCTGGGGAACGCCAGCTATGTTGGCGGAGCCGTCGAGGCGGCCAAACATGGCGAGCACAGAATCGATCCAAGATTTGACTTGAGAAGGTTCTGAGACATCTAGTTTAGTCGTTACAACTTCTGTATTTGGATTGGACTCTGCTATCTCTTTCTTCACGGAGACGAAGTTCTTATCGTTGAAGTCGCCGATGCAGACAACGGCGGCTCCGCGTTGAGCGAGTAATCGTGACGTTGCCTTTCCCATCCCGGACGCGCCGGCGGTTATGGTGAAGACTTTCCTAGCTAGGTTGGACGTCATGATTTCGTATACTGTCTAGCGAAGTTGTAGGATAAAGTAACGTCGAGTGCGTGTCGAGAGTGGAACAATGCAGCTGGGTAAATGAGTGGGAGGGACAGAAGAAGATGCCAATAATGGGATTGGGTGGATAGTCTTTACTTTGAGATACTTGATGTCTGCCACGGTATTTACGGAGATCACATCTAGAGGATGTGGCGTGTTCTAACTTCCGCCCTTTTGGCGGTTCACCATCGGAACCTCTAACTTTCCAATTACGACATTTCGAAGGGCGGAAATATTCGGAAATTTATCTGTTCTGTAGTCTACCCTGAGTCACGATTCTATGCAGCAATCTAAATAGGTTTCTGTTATGCCGCTGTCTTCCCATTGACCGCTGTAGCTGGTGTCACGATAACTCTAATCGTTTGAACTCAATCTACGTTACATCTTCAAGTTGTCGCATCAACATGACTTTCTCGTCCTTAGCACATTTCGATGGAAAGATCCTTATCTCGAACGAAGTAGGTTCTCGCGATCCATCCGCTCGACTGATAGAAACCATATCTCATGTCTCTTAGTGGGTAGAACCAAAATCGAAAAAGACTAGGCCAGTCTACAACCCCAAGGATGCTACCTTGGTCACGGACAAGCACCCCGTGTGCAATGAGCAGGACATTGACGCGGCCGTCAAAATTTCAAATAAATCATTCGAGCATGGACCTTGGCCTGCCATGTCTGGCGCTCAGAGAGGAGCGTGTCTGAGCAAGCTCGCGGATTTGCTGGAACAAAATGCCGAGGAGGCTGCATACTACGAGTCTATCTGTTCTGGTAGAATCGTCGCACAACTCAAATTGGAGGTCCCTTGGATTGCCAACGTTTTTCGGTACTACGCTGGCTGGTGCGACAAGCTAGAAGGCGAGTCCTTCACCGACGATGACGGCTTCTACAAGATTGTGCGTCATGAACCCATTGGAGTGTGCGCTGGTATTACCCCGTGGAACGGTCCGATGTTCGTGCTGGCGCTGAAAGCAGCGCCGGCACTGGCAACTGGAAACACATTCATTCTAAAACCACCGGAGAAATCGCCATTAAGCTCACTATTTGTCGGAACCTTGTTTGAGAAGGCTGGGTTTCCGCCGGGGGTGTTTCAGATAGTCACTGGCGACGGATCCACTGGCGCTCTTTTATCGTCTCACATGGGAATCCACAAGGTCTCCTTCACAGGATCCATACCAATTGGCCAGAAGATTCAGCATGCTGCGAACGCTAGCAACATGAAAAGAGTGACCTTGGAGCTCGGCGGTAAGAGCCCGGCTGTGGTATTTGAAGACGCGCACATGACCAACACTATTACATGGCTAACCCGCGGTGCGACTATGAATGCTGGCCAGAACTGCTCTGCATCCAGTAGAGTCTATGTCCACGAGTCGGTTGCCGAAGTGCTGATTGAGGGAATCAAGGTAAACTTCGAGAGTATTGCCAAGTCTTTAGGTAGCGATCCGCAGAATCAGGGGAGCAGTTACGGGCCTGTCGTCGATGAAGCTCAGTATGAGAATGTTCACAGTTTTATAGAAAGCGGGAAGAAACAAGCCACCTTGGTAACGGGTGGCTACAGATACGAAGGAGGCGGGTTCTTCATTCCACCTACCTTATTCCTGAATCCGGATCCTTATGCCAGCATATATAAAGAAGAAATCTTCGGACCGGTACTGTGCATACGTACCTTCAAGACTGAAGATGAAGCCGTCGCTATGGCGAATGATTCCCGCTATGGTTTAGCTGGTAAGCAACACATCAATTAAGCACCTTCTGACTTCACTAACCTCAAAACTAGCCTACATATTCACTGAGAGTGTTCGCCGCACACTGCGAGTTGCCAAACGGCTCAGAGCAGGCACAGTTGGCATCAACGCGATCAGTCAATTGTTTCCTCAAGCGCCTTTTGGTGGCTACAAATGCAGCGGACAGGGCAGAGAGCTCGGAAAATATGCCCTGGAGGACTTCACCGAGCTAAAGACAATTTTCATCAAGTCAGTATACCAAACAAGTGATACGAGTCCAGACTAATAGTTGAGAATAGTACTGGTGATGTCTAACACGAAGAAGCCGCCCACCAATACCTCGGCATGCAGGTGCCGAGACATCACGGGTTTCTTGCTGTGGCAGGTAGTTGGATGCCAAAAAAGAGCTCTATACAGTGTTTACTATAGTAGAGAATGATATTGCTTTCCCATACTCTGTGGCTATCGTGTCAAATAGGTGTTGCTGGGCACTCAAGCGCTTCGAATAAGTGTAGTTCTGTTGTACTCAGCTTGTCGTCGCTCGACATGCAGTAGGGCTGGGCTGCTTCCTCCAACATCGATCCCAACGCGGCTGGTGGAAGCTCCAATCAATCCTCAGGTGGGGTTGAGATGGCTGCCATGATGAAGTATGCAACGAGTGCGATGTGATGAAGTGGGCGAGGGCTTCCTTAAGGTTATTTTAAGCGGAAGTTGGGAGCGTCATGATTGGCCACCGGAATTCAACTAGCTCCAAATACGCTTGGTCCGTTATTTTCCCCTGGGCCCTAATACCCCCTGTGGGGCCCCGCAACCATTCCCGAGGACCCTTTCCCCCGAATATATCTTCTAGCCACTAAACATGAATGGCACAAATATGATCTTAGTTCAGCGCCCTCCTCTTAGCTCTCTCAGACCGTTGCATTGCCCTTTTGGCACGACCGAACCAACATGCATTCGGGTCAGGCGGCCAACCTGGCCATATTGTGTGTTGGATTGGTAAGCAACTATCCTCATGGAAACCTTCATATTTGATTGAAGCGGAAGCAGCTGACAGTCCTACTCGAATGACCTTCAGGTCATAGTATACACCGTCACGTACTGCCTCTACAATGTCTTTCTTCACCCGCTTCGATCCTACCCTGGGCCCAAATCTTGGGCGGCATGCTTCGTCCCTTCTGCAATTCAAAGTCTCCGTGGAAGGCTTCCATACGCTATTAAAGAAATCCATGACAAATATGGTGGAGTAGTCCGGGTGTCTCCGAATTATCTTCACTACGATAGCGATCAGGCATGGGAAGAGATTTACGGACACCTTAAGGGAACGCACACCAAGACCTTTGAGAAAGACTACTCGTTCTACGGGCCAACTCCTTCTGGAGCTCCGAACATGTAAGTTGCCTAGTTATACCAACCTCTGCGAGTTGAAGGAAACAGGAACGGCTGACTTCCTAAATAGCATAATCGCCCAGCCCCACGATCACCGCAGATTACGAAGACTCCAATCGCATGCGTTTTCGGAGAAGGCTCTCGCTGAACAAGAGTCCTTCCTCGATAAGTACGTACGCACTTTCATCCAGGGTTTGCAGGACCAGGTCACCGGGCCAGCCAAGGGGGTCGTTGATATCTGTATGTGGTACAATTTTACCACTTTTGATCTCATTGGAGATCTTGCCTTCGGACACTCCTTTGGCTGCACCGAGTCAGGCAAACTTCATCCATGGATCGCCATTACTTTTGAGTATATCAAGATGATTGAATACATGCGCCTCACGCGGATTTTCCCAGTGGTGGAGAAACTGTTGGCAGTCTTGATTCCCCAGTCGTTGAAGGATAACCGGGCGAATCACGCCAAATGGAGTGCAGATAGGGCACAGAGCCGAGTCGAGATGAAAACGGACCGAAAAGACTTCATGTCTTATTTGCTCAGAGAGAGCGGCGAGAAAGGCATGACCAAGGACGAGCTGAATGAAGGCGCTTTGATTCTCGTTCTGGCTGGAAGCGAAACGGTGAGATTTTATCGAGGCACACAGTCCGCATTTTGACTAATCGGGAACCACCAGACGGCTACAGTCTTGACCGGCATGACCTACTTCATGTTGAAGCGGCCCGAGACGTACGAGGAGTTGAAACGCGAAATCAGAACAGCGTTTGACTCTGCAGATGACATCAACATCAATGCGGTTGCCAAGCTGAAGTATCTAAACGCTTGCATCGAAGAAGGACTCCGCATATTTCCGCCAGCGCCGTCAGCTCACCCGAGGGTTGCCCCATCCGGTGGAAGCGTAGTGTGCGGCCGGTTCGTTCCAGAGAAGGTATGATTTTTTTGTACTGCGGAACTACTGCAACGAAAGCCCCTCTGACTGTACGTGTTATAGACCGTTGTCGGCGTCGGAGCATGGGCGGCGCATCACTCGATACGAATGTGGCGCGAGCCGGAGTTGTACTTACCCGAGCGCTGGCTCGGGGACCCTGAGTTTGACAGCGACCACAAGAAAGCTTCTCAGGCTTTCTCTTATGGCCCGCGCAATTGTCTCGGGAAAAAGTAAGCCTCGTTGGAGTTGCTCCCTGTTGACGATTACTAAAATAGACGGTAGTTTGGCGTGGGCTGAAATGCGACTTATCATGGCTCATCTCGTTTGGAATTTCGACCTTGAACTCGACAAGCGGGCCGAGAACTGGATAGACCGGAACAAGATTTTCATTCTCTGGGAAAAAGTGGAATTGCTTGTCAAGCTAACGCCTGTTACAAGGTGAGAAGGGAAGCTCGGATTTTGAACATTGAGCTGATTGAGACGAATTGTTCTCTCGCTAGAGGTCAAGATGTACACTAAGAAATGCACCTGACAAATCGCTGTTAAGGCGTCGTAGGGCTTGAGAGCTGTTAGTATGTTCTACTATCTTCGCGATCCGAACCCTGAAAACCCTTCTCTCTTTATTATATCACGTGCTAGCACCCCGCAACGGTGGAAGACCGCTACGTAGCATCGGCAATAGACATATGAGAACCGCAGCAAATTGAAAGTCGACCCATCTCCGTTGATGATTGCAGGCATTTCTGCAGGTGGAGGGGTTGCAGCCGGTGTGGCTCTTCTTGCGAGAGATAGAGGAGGCCCCGCGAATCGGAGAACGGTGAGGGGCGGAATTATGGCGTCGAGCACCATAAGGATCCGCAAGACATTCACGGAGCTTCGGGTCCGGGTGTCATTCATTTGACCGAGTATTGATATTTGAAGGGCAATGTGGCAATAGTCAGACTCGCAGATTCCCTGCAGCCGTACTCGAGCTGAACATTGGGACGGGATGCGAAGGCGTGGAGGGAGAGTCGCCGCTGTGGGGCCATGCCGAGTGGGCCTTGGAACTAACTATGTGTAGCCGGCTGCGTCAAACGCTGTTTCAATCCCCGCCACCACTCACTGCTCACTTCTGGTCATACCGAGCTTCCGTGACATTATTGGTCCTTGTCCATGCACGCTGCTCGATGCTCGAAGCTTTCTTCCCCTCGGCGCGGTCAAGAGTGCGGGGTCCGGGGTCCCGCCACCGGCGCGCACCTGGCCTGGGATCACGACGCCAAAGCATCCTCTGACTTATAACCTGCGCATCTCTCTGGTTCCAACCCTCGTCGAGACGAGGCGCGCTGGATGCGTGTACTGCTATGCCTCGACAACGCACCAATCCTGCTCCTTACCCTTGCACCGCCTGTGATGAACGTTTCACTCGCCTGGAACATCTGCGCCGCCATGCCGTATCGATCCACAGTAGCGGTGACCGTCCGAAACCCTTTGGCTGCCAGAGCTGCGGCAAACGGTTCTGGAGGAGGTACGTGTGCATTCCACCACTCCGCCCCTTTGTAGGACTGCGGCTGATTGGCGACTCCAAGAGACATCTTGCTTCGCCACCAGCAAGCTTACGAAGCCGCTGATGAGGCTCACATGTCTGCATCGAACAACCCCCAAGCCACCCGGCGAGCTTGTCAGAACTGTAATGATCTGAAGCTGAAATGTACTGGTGGTCCGACCTGCGAGAGGTGTACCAGTCTCGGCCGCAGTTGCAAGTATGCGCTTGATCGCCGTCAGAAACTGATCAAGAAACGGGCAAATGCAGTCGGAGAGGGCGCTTTTCCTTCACACTCCACTGAAAGCACAGCGAGTGGGCCCATACTCACGCTTGACTCTACATCCGATCGGGCATATCAAAAGAACATAGCAGGCTTGTATCATGGCTTGCCCTTGCTCGATGCAGGCTCGCCGAACCAGCGGAGTAAGAGGGGTCGCTACGTATCACACGCATGGTGAGAGAATCCAGTCTCGCAATTGTGAAGTATTCTAATCCTAATGTCGCATTAAGCACCTTCTGTCAAAAGCGCAAAGTGAAGGTAACTTGACATCTACAACTTGCAAGACCTTCATAGCATGATTTGACTCAGAATATAGTGTTCGGGCGAAAATCCCTGCTTCAATTGCCGCCAAGCCGAGGCGCAATGTGTGTACAGCTTTAAAAAGAGGCGTCAGAGAATCGAGCATGTCCGCAACCCTAGCGAAATGTAAGGAGTTTCCCATATATTTATAAACAGTTCCTTTCTGCTGTAAGACCCTCTGCTTATCCGAAGTTAGACCAGAAAAAGCCGATACACCACCTCCATCTGCCACCAATGCACCAAGCAACGAGACAGATTTGGCTGAACATATGCGAAAGATGCTGAACCGAGTTTCTGCCCTGGAAAACGAGTACAGTGGGCTCAAAGACCAAATCATCTCTTGCTCTGAGGCAGAGGAGAGCGGATGGTCCTCCGGCGATGACACAGACAATTCATCTAGCTATTCCCGTCCAGGCACTATCAGCGTATTCAACGACAAACAGTTCCACGGAGCAACATTTGTGTTCGCCCCGCTAAACCTTATGAACGCTACCGTCGCTTTCGGAGACCATCGCTCAAACTCATCTATGCATAGAGATAGCTCCCCACAGGTGAACCGGATGTTTGCTCTCAAGCTGCCAACCTACCACCACCGGACTATCCGATATTTAGAAAGAGAGACAAGACTATACGACGTAACAATTCTCATCCGCTCATTCGAGCTGTATTTTGCAAGCCTGAACCATCATTGCCCATTCCTGAACGAAAACGAAGTTCGGACGCAGTTTGACTGTTTCATCCACGATCCAGATGACTTCCCCGATCGGCCAAAATTCCTGGCCATGATCAACCTCGTCTTCGCTGTTGTGAAATTCCTCAACGATTACTGCGCTGGGTCGGATGGTGTGCCCGCTTTGGACGAGTTCTGCCGCGCTCAGAGCATTCTGGATCGGCTTGCCTGGCCGGGAAACGCTAATTTACTGACAGTGCAATGTCTGCTACTAAAGACGCTGTATTTGCTGTACATCGAGAACATGGATGCGGCATGCGACACCATGAGCCAGATCGTACGCCTGTGTTTCAGGCTTCGACTGCATGATCAATCAGCATGGATAAATTGCACTCCCTTTGAAATTGTCATGCGCCAACGTATCTTCTGGACCGTCTATTTCTTGGAGCGGCACATTTCATTCAACACGGGAACTCCCTATCTTCTGCGAGAATCCGAATTCGACGTTGACATTCCAGCAAACGTTGAGGACAGACTCATGTTCCCCGACAAACCATTGCCTGTGGAAAACCCGCAGCGCTCAGCAAGCCCTTACTTGCGGTGTACGGTCAAATGGGGGCGGCTTTGCGCTGAAATTTGGGATATGAAGTTTGCGAAGAAGGCGCCGAATAGCACGCTCAATGCCGAGTTCATTGCACTCACCGATGCGCGAATTCTCTATGTAATCAGCGCCTTCCCCGCACACCTTCGCTGGCAACCAAGTGATGTCGGGCTGAACTGCGCTCCAAACCTTCCGGCTTATATTATTCGTCAGAGAATAGTTTTATTCCTGGTGAGTTTTACCAAAATGACTCGGTTATGACGTGCAAATACTTGTGCTAACAACCTACCGGAAGCTAATGAATCAACTCCGATTACTCTTGCGGCAAGAGAGTATTCTGAATCGCGGTTACAACCAGACAGTTGCAGACGATTGTGTGGGTATTGCAACCGGGTCCATTGAAGCGTTATATGTCTACCACAAGCAGAATGTCGAGCGGCGCATTTCCCGCTTTTCAGCAGTTTTCTGGTCAATCAGTCCCATCCTGCATCTTGCATGCATTATCCTGCACACCGAGAACCCTCGGCCCACGCGCGGCAGAGCCATCGAGGCATTCAAGAAAGGCATTTCCATCCTCCTTGACATGTGTCCAACGTTTACGCTGGCACGCCACACTATGCTACGGCTTGACAACATCATCACGAAGACCGAACTAGCGATCCAAGAATTCAGTAGTATTGACGCTTCCCAGGCGCGGACCTCCCAGGACCTCTCGCCGCCACAGCTCCAAAGTCTGCGGAATTTCCAGTCGATGGAAGCCTGGAGTTGGGACGATGAGATGTGCTTGAACGGAAGCGGCCTGGATGAAGTTAACACCGGATTCTGGGAAGGAAATACGGTAGTAGATGCTATTTTGCGGGAAACACAGAATAAAGACACCCCGTCTAGCATTAATGATGACTTGCGCAAGCTTTTCGAGTTAAGCGCGACGCAAGGGACGTAGAGTTCGTTTCATATCTAAAGAACATGCAAAATAATAAACTGCCAGTTAAAGCATCCCTAACTGTATTCTTATTCGTTATAGGTGTAACGGGTCGTCTCTTCTATACTTTCCAAGTACTCTCACAAGGCAAGTACAGGTCGAGTCGTCGTCGGGGTGCGATAGTCTTCAGGAGGAGAGGCAAATCAATCTTAGGCATAAGACGGGGTTACTACAATAGGTATTGAGTTGAACACGAGGTTCCTATCTACGAGAATGAGTGTGCTTAAATACAAAAGACAACTCCTAAAAAGTCTATGGCTCGTTGGGTTCTTCCACGAGCCAGCACCGAACGGTTGCTGCTCGTTCGATCCTTCCACGAGCTAGCACGTGACCTCTAGTCCCGTGACCTCGTAGCCAGGGGAGTCCAACACACCAAGGCATTGTACCCTCGTGCCCCTGGGTCCTGTATGCAGATTACGTGTAACCAATCTGATCTGCTTACTTGCTTCCTCGAATACCGCGGTAATCGAGTCATCCGTGTTACGGGTTGTAACAATTAGGTCACTCGTTTTGTTCGGCGGCTAAGTTAGTGGGCATAAATGTTGTAAGCCTGGCCGCTTAACCCGCCAAAACTTCACCACACAACACCACCAACGCGCCCGGCACGGCGGGCGCTTGAGGGCTCTGCTCTACTCTGTTCCCGAGGTCTGCTCTCGTCTGTCTACCACCCGCCGCTGCGAAAGCACGTGGGCCCGCGTTGAGCTGAGAGACGCAAGCCACGGCTGCTCGCCTGCGCCTTTGTCCAGCCCCGTCTTTCAAGGTTCTGCGCAAGGTTCGCGACAATCCTTCCTAACCCGGCTGCCTTAGTCACTCAATACGACCATCTTCAAAAACGCTGTGCGCCCAACAATGTCCTTTCCTCCCATCCTCCCCGCTCCCAGGCCCCACGATGCGCCAGCCCCGACGAGCTCAAGGGCAGGAAGCGGCGCACTCCCAGCCATGTATCGCTGAACGCATGCGCCGCCTGCAAGAGGGCGCGCGCCAAGGTAGGTCCCCGAGATCCGCTACCATGCAAGCAGGGACTAACGGCTGGGTGCTCAGTGCGACGGCGAAGCCCCCGACCCGTGCAGCAGGTGTATCGCGCGTAATATGGCCGACCACTGCCACTACAAAGTCCATGTAAAGACGGCCAAGGAGGAAATGGTCCGTTGCATCAAGACGCTCGAGCAGCAGAACGCCGCGCTGCTGGGCTCCATAGAGGAGCGGGAGCGTGCCATACGCAAGAAAGCCCTCTAGATTAAGACCTTCTTCAACGCCTTAAAGGAGGGCGAACGCGGCCCCGAGGTTGTGGCGATGCTGCAAGCGGGCCAGTTGTACAATCAGATTGTGGAATAGCTCGGGCAGCCCCCTTACGGCGGTATCACACATCTGTCCCCTTCCTTGGAGTCCCAACTATCGCGCATGGCCAAGGACGCAGACGCTCCAGACATCTTAGAGAGCACGACAGGCCACGAGACTGCAATAGATATTAACGCGGGCCCGGAGAGCCAGGATTCCTTTAAGTAGACTAAGGTCGACGTTACTAATACTTAGAGCCACCATCTTATAGCTCTATATTTCACCTAAATCCACCCTATATATATACTTTTTAGCAGGGACCACTTTATAGGAAGTTTCTAAAAGAGCAGTAATATATACTGCTCTATTTTTCTATTTAATACTATATATACTATAGGGTATTTCTTTATAGTAGACTAGGAGAAATAAAAGGCAAATTCTAATATTTTATTCTACTATTTCCTTAAAAAAGCATAAAATAAAGTAGGTATAAAGAACCGAATAAAACTTACTTTTATATTTACCTATACTATTTTCTTTCTAATTAGAATTAGTTCTAGAAAGGCCTATAAGGCCTTAGCTATTAAATAATAATATATAGTAATAGGTAAAAGCTAGCTAGTATAATAGTTAGTAGAAGTTCTACTATTAAAAGAAAATAAACCGCTTACCCTTTTTATAGAAGGCGGAAAGGCGCCCTTATTTTATAACTACCTAGTACTTTTAAATATTAGCTAATCTAAACTAATTTAGTTTAAACTAGACTAGTAGAGCCTATAACTAATATTACTAAAGCAGCCTTATTTATAAAACTTTACTTTAGAGGCTACTATAATAATATCTTTTTTTTTTAGAAACTATTTTTAGTTATATAGAAAATATATAAATAGCCTAAATAAGTAGTAAAAAATTAAAAGTAACGTACTTTATAAGTAAGCGGGCTACCTAAGTAAGTAGGCTACTTTATTACTAAAACGCGATATAAAATATAAATTACTTTATAATACTAATAGATATTAACTTAATATAACTTATAGTTTAATCTATAATAATTTCCTTATCTTTTTAATATATATAAGCGTTATATCCTATTTTACTGCAGCGCCTATAGCGCGCTTACTACTATATATTTCCACCTAAGCGCCTTCTATTTTAACGTATTTCGCCCTTAATTTATTTATTAGCTTTTTTTTAAGTAATTATTTTAGAGCTCTATACCTTTATTAGAACTTTTTACCTCTAAATTCGCTTTTTTTTACGCTTTCTACGCTTTATAGCGGCCTTATTTACCTTTTAAAAGCTTATAACCTAATTATATAATAATATAGCCCTATATATCTATACTTTAGCGCCTTTAATAAGTAATACTTATCCGGGGCAAATATTATACTATACTTTTTTACCTACTTTATATACCGTATATACGCACTTTTAATTACCCTATAGTTTTCTTCCGTGCTTTTACTAAATATAAGGATATTAGTGTTGTTTATAAACCTGTAGGCTATTATATTACCTTTTTATAGTACTAGCAGAAGCGTGCTTATAAAAAATAAAAAAAGGATTAGTAAGAATAAAAATCCTTATAGTATACCTGTATTAACCGGAATAGTCTTAGTAATATATCTTCTAATAAAAAGTCTTATAGTTTAGTTCTATAGAAATAATTTTATAAATTAAACTATCTATTCCGGTATATATTAAACCTATAGGTTATATATTATTCTTTTATAAAATACTCTATTAAAGGCCCCTAAAATATCTAGGCTAAGGAGAAAAATAATAAGGTAAAAGTTACTTTTCTATATAGTTTATATTTATTCCGTAAAAAGTTCTAGTGCTGTCTGCGTAGATTATTCGGGCCTTACGCCTATTTAGCTCGGTAGGAGCATGCCTTTCTCCTCTGCTATCTTAGATAGTTTTCGTGCTATAATACGTTTAAGCAGCTTACTTACTATTTCTAGCAGTGTAATTAGCCTGTATAACTTTACTATATTATAGAACGCTTTCTAAGGCTTATATAGCACTATAGTAATTAATTCTTTATACGGCTATAGGTAGTGCCCTATATATACGCACCTAGTAAAGAACCTGGCTAGCGTTAGTACTAGCTGCGTTTTGCATTTCTTAAGAATTCTATTAGTTATTTTTATAATACCCGGGGCCTTATCCAGGGCTATTCCTATTAGCGCGGAGAGGATATTTTCTACTATAACGTTTTATAAGGACTTATACAGCTCTAGGTATTAGTATTTTTTAATATTAGAGAGGTCTGCCTCTATAAAAGGTAGGAAAAACTATTCCGTAAGTATTTAGGCCTTAGTTTTATTATCTATATAAAGCGTTGCGTTATTAGGCCGTAAAAAAAAGGGGAATTAAGGCGGTGGCCGTGGTTTTTTTCTAATAGTTCTGCCCTATTTAGCTAGCTTCTATACGCCTTTCGGATCCAACGTAATTTTATCTACTGCGCGGCGCTATACTTTTATACTTTCTTTACGTATAGCCCTTTTCTTTCTATTATACTATACTCTGTATAAAATCTAGTCCTCTACTATTTTTAATAAGCGCTAGGTTCTATAGGCCCGCCTTATCTCCCGTACTTTCTTAGTGCACTCTATTAACCACGCAGGTAATACTTGTTTTAATAGCTTTATAAGTAGTATAGTTTTATCTATTATAGCTTATATATACTTATATAGGCGGTGTGTAAATATATTAAAATCTTCCTCCGTCTCCTGCAGGTTATTCCGAGTTTCTAGCTCGTTTAGCCGTATTACTAGGTTTTTTTATACTTTTTTCTATACTATATTCTTTTACAGCCTACGCTGCAGGGGTTTAGCTGCCTTTAGTAGTAAGACATCGAACTCTATATATATAGGCCGGTGATTAGAGTTGCAGTTCTATTCTTTTTATACTATAGAGGAAATTATTTATTCTATTAGCTATCCTATTATAAATATAAGGTTAATTATAGACTATAATATTCCTTTTACCTATATTTCTAGCTTTTCCTCTATAGCTAGGTTTATACCTGCTTCGCGCGTAATATAAAGGAGCTTTTCTACTTACTTCTTAATTTATATAACTTAAACTTTTTTCTATAGCAGATAGTATAGGTTTATATCTCCGATAAAAATATATTCCGCTTTAGTATTATTTAGTAGTAGGGGTAGTTTCTATATAATACTATTAGGGTTCGGGTTATAGATATTATAAATATAAATCCTTTTTTCCTCTATATAAAGGGAGAAGGTGTTAAAATCTAGTAAGTAGTGTATAACCGACTACTTATTAATATTTAGTTATTTATTAATATATATACAGGCTTTTATATATTCCTCTCCTATATATAGTAAATAGTATAACTTTATTATATACGTTATATATACTATATACCCCTGCTCCTACCTATATAGGTTCCTTTATAGTTTTTATATAGCTAGTACTATAGGTTATAGGCTGGTATTCTCCGCCTTTTTAAGGAACTTCTTTTAAGTTATTAAGTTCTTATAGACGTTATACTGTATAATAGTAAGGTTATTTAGTTATTCTAATATTAGCTTATCTTAGTGTCCTCTTGTTATTTCTTAGCTTGCCCGTTATCTACCTAGGTTCTTTACTTAGCGTAGATCTATTAGTTAGCTAGGTTATCTTATAATAATAGTATTTAAACCTCTCCGCTTAATATTAGCTAATCGCCTCCGCTATATATAGTTTATATAGCTAGCTGTAATAATACTTCCGGCAGCGTAGCTAATTGGTTAGGTCGCGTAAATTGGGCGGGCTGCGTTCTACTTCCGATTCCAAATGCCTTATTAATAGCGGGCTGGTTTTTATCCGCTGTAAGCACCTTTTTTAGCCGCCTAGGTCCGGGTTTCTTTAAGGGTGCAGGTATAGTAGAAGCTATAGATGCTATAGAGTCTATAGAAAAGGGCTTCTCTACTTATATTTTAAACTCCCCTATATATTACACCCTTTTTTTTAGAGCTATCTTCCTTATATACTATTATTTATTATATAACTGCGCTTAGAATATATATAGTTTGTTGCGCTCTACGGCGTATTAGCGTAGTATTGTCCATTTCTTATTAAGGGCCCTTTGCTAGGCCCTTTTTTAAATAGTGTATTTAGTACTGTATAATAG